TTAATAATACCCTTCTCCTATGGTCCTACCTCTCTTGAGCTCCTTCTTTCCCTTTATCCCCTAGGTTCCTTGTATACCCTTCCCTCCCCTTCCCTTAAAATAACCCAATTTTTATCCATATCTCCCTTATTAACACCTGTTTCCTGCTGTTCTCTTTCAGATTCTTTCTTTTCCTTTACCTCCCTGGTTACTTTTCATTATCCTGGTTCCTGTACTTATGTCTGGATACATAATCACTTATCAACATTTGGCGCTAGGATCCATATATGAGGGAGGACATATGTCATTTGTTTTTCTGAGTCTGTGTTACTTTACTTCTTCTAACAGTTTCAGAGTTTCAGGCTTCACATTGAGGTCTTTGATCCATTTGGAGTTGACTTTTGTAAAAAGTGAAAGATAGGAGTTTAATTACATTCTTCTACAGGTGGAGATCCAGTTTGGCCAGTGCCGTTTGCTGAACATGCTGTCTTTCCTCCAGTGAATGTTCTTGGCCCATTTGTCAAATATCAGGTGGTGTACTCATATTTGGGTCTTCAATTTTGTTCCATTGATCTATGGGTCTATTTTTGTGCCAGTACCATGTTGTTTTTATGACTATAGCTCTGTAATACAGCTTAAAATCTGATATAGTAATGCCCCTGGGCATTCCCTTTCCCCACATCCTCTCCAACACTTGGTATCATTTGTTCTTTTGATCTTAGCTAGTCTGACTGGGGTGAGGTGAAATCTTAAAGTGGTTTTAATTTGCATTTCCTTAATTACTAGTGATGTTGAATGCCTTTTAAGATGTTTCTTAGCCATCTTCATTTCTTCTTTTGAGAAATCTCTTTTAAGCTCCTTAGCCCATCTTTTAATTGGGGTCCTTCATTTCTTGATTCTTTGTTTTTTGAGTTTGTAATATATTCTGGATGCTAGCCCTCAGATTTTCTCCCATTCTGTGGGTTTTCTCTTCTCTTCCTTGGTTACTTCTTTTGATGTACAGAAGCTTTTTAGTTTAATGAGGTCCCATTTGTTGATTCTTGACCTTGTTTCCTGGGCAGTTGATATCGGGTTTAGAAAATCCTTTCCTACACATATATATTGTGGGTTATTGCCAATGTTTTCTTCTAACAGTTTGGGAGTCTCAGGCTTCACATTGAGGTCTTTGATCCATTTGGAGTTGACTTTTG